GCGTCAAGAACTTATTACGCCGCAGCTCTCTGTTGGGAGCTTTGGTCTTATCAGCTCGATTACGTCACCGCTCGCTCTTGGGAGCCGCGGAGCTAAGAGCCTTTGGGAGTAGTTTGGGCCTCTTGGGGGGCTCTTGGGGAGCCTCTTGGGTGCCTCTTGGGAACCTTTTGGAGCTTTTCGGGGGCTTCTTGCGGCCTCCTGGGAGCTTCTGGGCTGCGGGGGTGAAAGGAGTAGGCTGCCTTTGACCGTCTTTGGGCTCTCTTGGGGGCCTTTTGGGGCCTTCTTGGGGCCGTCCTGGGGCCGTCTTGGGCCGTCTTGGCGCCTCTTGGGCCGTCTTGGCGCCCTCTTGGGCAGTTTTGGGGCCTTCTTGGGGGCCTCTTGGGCCTTCTTGGGGCGCTCTTGGGGGCCTCTTGGACAGTTTTGGACGCCTCTTGGCCCGTCTTGGCGCCCTCTTGGGCGATTTTGGGGGCCTCTTGGGAACATCTTGGGCCGTCTTGGGGCGGTCTTGGGGGCCTCTTGGACCGTCTTCAACGCCATGAAAGGCGAAAAGCCGTATATGCTAAAAATGCACGCTTTCCTCGTGGGCCTCTTGGGGCCCTCTTGGGACGCCTCGTGGGCGCCTCCTGGGGCGTCGTGGAGGCCTCTTGGGACGTCTTGGGACCGCCTTGGGCGGTCTTGGGCTCTCTTGGAGCGCTCTTGGGCCGTCTTGGGCGCTTCTTGGGCCGTCTTGGGCCGTCTTGGGCGCCGTCTGGGCCGCTTCTTGGGCTGTCTTAGGCGCCTAAGACGGCCCAAGAAGCGCCCAAGAAGCGTACTCCGATGATGTCTCGAGCGAAACGCTGTTTTCAAGCCCCGAAGGCCGTCCTACTCGATAAAAAACGAGGCGGGAGGGCAATTAGATCTCGGGCCTCGCGATGCCAACCCCTCGAACTCCCCCAAGTCCAATTTCTTCAGACTAACGGACCGCACGCTAACGCGAGCTTTCCGTCATCTCGGGGCCCGCGATGCCAACCCCCTCGAACTCCCCCAAGTCCAATTTCTTCCGACTAACGGACCGCACGCTAACGCGCGCTTTCCGTCATCTGCCGCCGCCTGTTGGCTTGCCACAGGGGTGCCCGGCGTACTGGGTCCTTTCGGTTTGGGTCATTTGGGAGCTCCCCCTCGGGCTTCGGCCCAGCGCACCCGGAAGGGACCGGAAACTGCGCATGTCGATGCCTTTCACGCCCAAGATGGCCCCACATGGACTCCAAGATGCCTCCAAGACGGCTTAGATGGCCACAAGATGCCTCCAAGACGGCCCAAGATGCACCGACGACTGCCTAAGGTAGTCTCAAGATGGCCCGAGACGGCCCAAGAGGCTCCCAAGAGGCGGCCTCCAAGACGTCCCAAGACGTTTCCAAGAGGTCCTCTAGGAGGGCCCGAAGCGGCAATTCACATTGAATTTCTGTATGTTTTTGAAGGATTTGGGCATTTGCGCCTTGTCGGCCTTCCGACGGCCTAAGAGGGCCCAAGAGGCCCCTAAGATCGTCCCAAGACCGCCCAAGAGGCCTCCAAGATGGCCCCCTGACGGCCCAAGACGCCCCAAAAACGGTCCCAAGAGGGCCCCAAGTCGGCCCAAGAGGCCTCCAAGACGCGCAAGATGGTCTCCAAGACGGCCCTCAAGCGCTCCAAGAAGGGCCCCAAGTCGGCCCAGAGAGGCCCCCAAGACGGCTTCCGACGGCCCAAGAGGCCCCCGAGAAGCCCTCAAAGGCCCCCAAGAGGCCCAAGGAGGCTCTCAAGATGCCTCCAAGAGGCTCCCAGCAAACTCACAGGAGGCCCCAAGAGTGTCCCCAGAGGCTCACAAGATGCCCCCTCCTCCTTTTACGTTAGACCAACCTACGGTTTCCCTGTGGCGTTCAGCCCCCTCCTCCTCCCTCCCTCTCCTCCTCCTCCTCCTCCGCCGCCTCCTCCTGATCTTCCCCGCCATCCTCCCCAAGTGTTCCCCGAAGGGTTTCCACAACGGTTGGGGGAACACACGGTCCGATAGCTTGGCAGAGCCATTGCCGCAACGCTCGGCCACATGGGCGATTCTAGAAGGCAGGGGGCTGCGGTGATTCGCCGTAGGCGACTTCGTTCACCTCAAGCACGCCGGCCAAGTATCATGGCCTGTGACCTCACCACCCCCCCCGCGAGCCCGATCCCCGTCGCGCACCGCGGGGCGCGATGCGCGGACACCCTCGCGCCCTCGCGCCGCCGTCCTGAAGAAGGGCGCTCCTCCCAAGCCAAACGGCGATGCGCGATCGCGCCCCTGGGAAAGACCTAAGATCGCAACATGTTGCATCCTCGGGGGGCCATGTCTGCCCCGTCGCAGAGCCATCCGCGTCGACTCCGTGCCACATCCACGTCGGACTCGTCGGATCCGTGCCGGATCCGTGCCGAATCCGCGACGACTCCGCGTCGAGTCCACGCCAACTCCGCGCCGAGTCCGCACCTCCATGGCTTCGGGAGCGGGCGAGGCCCCCCGAAGGTGCAACGTAGAGCCCGGCCACTCTGCCGGCCGGGTCCCTCAGCTCGGGCATCTGGCGGAGCGCCGCCGCCCGCCTCCGCGCCACCGCCCGCGGCGCGTGCCCTCGCCGCGCCGCGGCGCCGCGGCGCAGCCGGGCCGCCGCGAGGGAGGCCGCGGCGGCGGCGCCCGCCGGCGGGGCCGCGCAGCAGCAGGCGCGCGGCAGCGCGCGGCGCGCGCCCACGGGCGGCCACGCCTGCGGCGCACGGCTGGGCGGCCCCCGGGATATGACGCCGCAGCCGAAGGGCGGCGCGGCGAGAGACGCCATGGCCTGCCCCGAAGGGGCGCGCGTCGGCGAGCGCGAGTCCCGGTGGCTGACGGCAGCGGGGCAAGGGGGGAGGGAGGGAGAGGCAGCAGTGTGAGGAGGGGGGCTCGTACTGCCCTGCTGGCATGTGCAGGATCATACGTTTGGGGATTGTCCTGATGTCACTGCGCGATGCCGAGGCAAAGCTTGCACCAATTCCGTCTGTGGGATTGGGCTGGCATTCTATCACACCTTCAACCATCCCAATACACTAACACCGCAACGCTCTCTCATTCCCTCTCTCTCTCATTCCCTTTTTTTGTTCTCTCCCTCTCTCTCTCTATCTCTCTATATGCACTGTCTACATATATGTTACTATTTTCTTCTTCCTCTTATTATTATTATTATCATTCTTATTACTATTAATATGATTACATATATGGCGGGTTCGGGAAACCCTGACCCGCCAAATGCTGCCATGTGTTGGGAAACCGAACGTGGCTTCCGCCGGCTTCCGCCGGTCTTCCGCCGGAGGGGGCGGCCCAATTTCTTACTCCCGCCAGCCTCCGCCGACCGTTCGCCGCCTGCCGCCGAAGAAAGAGACGGCATCCCCTTCGACCCTCGAAGGCAGAGGCCCTTTCGGAAGCGCCCCGTACGGGTATATAGCAGCAGTCATGGGTACAGGGTGCGGGCCGGGTGGGCGTGAGGGGAGGGGTCGGGGGTCACCAGGAGTGCGAAGGGGCGAACAGTAGATATCTCGATGTCCCGATCTCAGGGGAGATGGGATCCGAGACCTCGGCATCCTGACAGCCCGGTACCTCAACTTTGAGGGCGGCGCACTCGACATCTCGATGTCCCGAAGTCATTCCAGAAGCAGGAACTCGATATGTCGATACATGCGCCAGAGACCACACTGCTACAGTATGGGGGCCAACCGATGTCCAGCGGAATGGCATGTAGATGTAGAAATACTGAATGCACCAGGACTGTGCTCGTCATCCTCCTCATCCTTCTCATCCGTCGGTTTTCCTCCTTCTGCTCCCGGTGGTCCTAGCCACGCACTTGCCCCCCGCGTGGACAAGAAAACATATACATGCAAACCTTCTCTTGCGTATCCGCAACCTGGGTCCAAAACTAGTTACGTGTTGAAACAGACTCGACCCTGCTTCCCCGACTATCAGAATGAAGAGCTCCAAACCACAACTTCACATGTGAGCGCACACGGTTTTCTTTTCTGCATCCGCGACTGAACACCTTATTTCTGCTTCTTCAGATCGGAAGTGGCATTTCGGGAAAGGAAGGGGCGGAAGTACGAGGGGAACGTACATGGAGGAGAGAAACGCGAAAGCAAAGGTAATGAGATATAAGGTGAGGAGGGGGAGGTAATAGGGAGCAAGAGGATGATGAAGGAGCAGAAGGATGACAATTCGACCAGAGACATTCGAGATGGTTTGTGGTGTGTACAATAAAGAGTGTGTGAGAGAGAGAGAGAGCGTGTATGTATATGTATGCTGATGTGTAACGCCGTGGTTCATGTTTTCTTCCAGTGCGAGCTTGCCTACATCACCAACGGTCCATAGCCACGGGCGCATACTCTTATTATAGAGGGGTGTTAACAAACCAGACTCACGAATGCATTAGATTAGTTGGGTGTCTGCACTCCCGCGCGAGCTCGGACAGGAAAGCATGCTGGCTTTCACACTTCACGCTGGCGGATTCCTGCAGGGGCTGCGCGACGAGGAATCCTTGGCATGAAGAGGACACGAGAGCAAGTGAGGAAGAGAGACAGAGAGCGATATATACATGTATATATAAAGAACAAGAGGGGGAGAGGGGAAGATAGAGAGAAAGATGGAGAGACAGAGACAACGAGAGAGCGAGAGGGAGGGAGGGAGAAGGACAGAGAGAGAGAGAGAGACACGCAAATGTACACACGCCCACGCAAACACTCACACACACATGCAGACACGCAGATCGCACGTGCACGTACACAGTAAGACGCGCGTGCGTGAAAACATGCCTACATGTGTACACACACAAACACAACCAATATGTGTGGCAGATTCGGTGTGATTGTGTTACGCTGTAGGTACGTGGCGCATGCGCATGGCGTATCTTTTCTGTGTATGTGTACGTCAGACACACATACGCGCATCATCAGTGGCATGGCAACCAGTACGCATTGCCACGGCCCCCCCCCATCCCCCCCGCGCGCAC